AAGTATGTTTCCCCACTCCCTACTCACGATCACACAGTACTTCTGGCACCAGATGTATGGGGGGTTTTCTCCGCATGCCAACCAAGCAACTCTGCAGCAAACACCAGCTAAGTGTCCTGCTATTCTGATCCTACTTACCTGGAGACAGCCAGGTAAAGTTGGGTTGAGAGTTCACGATAGGTGAGGGCTCAGTCCTAGGAAACTGACCCCATTTCCCATGCCAATTACAAACTCAGATTTTGACCTCAGCTTCCGGCCCACTGACTATAAACCAGGGTTCCCATGATTCCCTCCTTGGATTGTGGCATTGGGCATTCTGGTGAGCTCTCCATGTGATCGACACAGCAGGCATGAGATTTTATCCCTGAAACTTATGTCAAATTGTCCAGCTTAGCAGTTTTTGTTCTTGGTTGGAGAGTTGTAGCCAGATATTGAAGTAAACTAGAGGAATTTGAGATCTAATCCTAAATAAATAATAAAAACTTGAAAACAATGAACAGGGCTACGATCTAACAACATGTGTACTATGGTTTTCTTCTGAAACATAATTTCTCTCTATTGTCACCTCCACTTCTACTAAAAATAATCACAGTAACACCAATTTGTTTGTAAAATAAGTTTAGTCTCAAACTTGGCCTAATTATCTGTGTAAGTACAGCAAGAATAACCATATAGGTTCCTTTTAAATTTGCTTTGCTGATAATTTTGACAAGAAACCTCAGACTGGATTTTTTAAAACCTCTCAATGCTAGGAAGTCAAACAAATGCAGACATCAGACTTTGCCCTTAAAGCCAGATATTGTATGCATGTGTTCAAATATGACATTCCAGTCAAAGCCTTGATAATATAGTCAATGTTTTCAGTTGTATCATGTTAAAGAGAACAGACTCTTGTTGAATTTATGCAAATAACCATATCATCATAAACAAAAATAAGAATACCCATGAATTAATTCCTGAGTTTTGGAGGGATCAGGTAAGGAACAAAAGCAACTGTTTCAATTTTTGTTTACGAAAGTATGCATTAGCAAATTGCTATAAGTTATAGTTAGTTTAAAAGGAAAAAAAAGTTCCCTTAAATCTGGATAATGAAACATTAAAGGAATCAGAAATATTTCTCTTTTAAAACGCCATTAAGCCCCATTATTCCTTCTTGTTCAGTTCATTCAGTGTCATGTAATACATTTTTGTTCTGTTTAATCTTGGTTAGCAGTTTCACAAACACATTAGTTTCTTCATTAGAGTTCTAGAAATTCTTACCCAGTCCAATGGTACCTAAAAAAAAAAAAAAAAAAGAAAGAAAGAAACCCACAAACTCAAATTTATCAGAAACCTGTACTTGCCAGAGTTCTTTCTATCCCTATCATGAACCTTCTTGAAGATATAAAAATATGACTTGAAGAAGGTTAAATTCCATTTCTTATTTGACAAAGTTTCTCATGTAATTTAATGAATCAAATAAGCTGCTTAATCTGTTTACTACCTCTCTTTTGCATTTCCAGGGGTCCTCTGGGCTGTCCAACAGCTGGCTCAAGGTCAAAAAGACTTCATTTTATAATTTGGTTTTAAGAAGTTTGTCGAAAATAAACTTTCAAAACACTTGATCAAGAGTAGGATCACAGGCCACTATGAAACAATAATTATTCCTTTAACCAGAGTTTTAATTGAAAGAAGTTGCAAGGCTGGGGGAAGTGGCTCACACCTGTAATCCCAGCAATTTGGGAGGCCTAGGCAGGATGATTGCTCAAGTCTAGGAGTTCGAGATCAGCCTGGGCAATGTGGCAAACCCCGTGATATGGTTTGGCTGTATCCTCACCCAAATCTCATCTTGAATTCCCATGTGTTTATGAGAGGGACACGGTGGGAGGTAATTGAATCATGGGGCAGGTCTTTCCTGTGCTGTTCTCGTGATAGTGAATAAGTCTCATGAGATCTGATGGTTTTAAAAAGGGGACTTTCCCTGCACAAGCTCTCTTCTCTTGTCTCCTACCATGTGAGACATGCCTTTCACCTTCAGCCATGATTGTGAGGCCTTCCCAGCCACATGGAATTGTAAGTCCAATAAACCTCTTTCTTCTGTAAATTGCCCAGTCTCGGGTATGTCTTTATCAGCAGCGTGGAAATGGACTAATATGCCCTGTCTCTATGAAAAATACAACAACGACAAAAAATTAGCCAGGCACAGCGGTATGCTCCTGTAGACCCAGCTACTTGGAAGGCTGAGGTGAGAGGATGGCTTGAGCCCAGGAGGCAGAAGTTGCAGTGAGCTGAGATCATGCCACCACACTCCAGCCCAGGCAACAGAACCAGACCCTGTATGGAAAAAACAAAAAAAAAAAAAAAAAAAAAAAAAAAGCATATTTGTAGGAAAAAAGCTTAATGCTTTAACTCAATTTTCTTAAGTAATCAGAGATCTAATAAAGACAGTATGAAGCATAGGAAATTATCTTGATAAAACACAAAATCTCTTTCTCCTGCTTACTGGTTCCCTCTTTCCTTGCTTCTCTTTACTTCCCAAATCCATATTTTGAAACAACCTTTAAATAATATCAAAATTAGACAAAATTACTTTTCTCCCAAGAGAAAAAAGCACACCTTTATGCCTTCCTTATAATTTTTCTCGACAAAACACTCTCACTTTCCTACTTAGCATATTGAATTGTTCCCCTTATTTCTAGTAGTTTTAGTTATTTATACTAATTATAGTTGTTAATTCTTAGCAGTTGCAAACCAATTCTGTAGACTAGCACCATTTCATAATTTCTAGAAATATGTGCTTCCTGAAGGTACAAATTTTCTTTTTTTCTTTTTCTTTTAGAGATGGGGTCTCTGTTACAAAAGCTGGGCTCACATTCCTGGTCTCAAGTGATCCTCCTGCCTCAGCCTCCTAAGCAGTTGGGACTACATGCATGTGCCATTCGTTGTATCTGGTTAAAGTACAACTTTTTAATGTGGAATAGAACATATTTACTAACAGACCTAAATGCATTTTGTCTTTTTGTACAATTTAAGAAGCCAAAAACAAACTTAAACTTATGTGTAACAATTAATGTTTCAGCATTTTATCGTACTTAGAAATGATTCAGATATTTCATGAGAATCTATTACTTATTTATAACACAACTTTCTTAAGTTACTTACAAAGATTTTTGAAACCATGAAAATTTTATTTATAAACCTTTATCCTGTCTACATTTTCCTAGTCTAGTCATTTTTAACAATAATTCTTGAATTGCCCATTAAACAAGGCTAGCCATCATTTAAGTTATTTCCATGTAACCCATTTTTAAAGGATGCAAATGCTAAGCATGAACTCTAAAGTTAAATGCATGGGTATTTTCCTGATCACAAGACACAGTCGTTTTTATTAAAACAACAATAGTAATAAACTCGTCCTATTTACCAAAGATTTACTCAAATCACATGAACTAAAAGGCATTAAAATATTTGATCTAAGTGTTTAGGTTTTCTTCAAGCAAATTAGAGCTTTTTTTCAGATATTTTGGTAGAGAAATATCACATACACGTAATACATATAGACACACAGACACACAGAGAGAAGCAGATCTTACAACTTTTTAACGATTCTGCTAGCCAGGCATGGTGACTCATGCCTGTGTAAACCAGAGTATCTAAGACAAGTCTCAATCAATTTAGGAAGTTTATTTTGCCAAGGTTAAGGGTGCACCCGTGATACAGCCTCAGAAGGTCCTAACAACATGTGCCCAAGGTGGTCGGAGCACAGCTTGGTTTTATACATTTTAGGGCGACATGAGGCATCGATCAATATATGTAAGATGTACATTGGTTCGGCCTGGAAAGGTGGGACAACTCAAAGTCGGGAGGGGGCTTCCAGGTCATAGGTAGATAAAGAACAAATGGTTGCATTATTTTGGGTTTCTGATTAGCCTTCCAATGAATCAAAGGAAGCAATCAGCTGTGCATTTGTCTCCTGGGAGCAGAGGGATGACTTTGAGTTCTGTCTGTCCTTTGTCTACCAGGAATTATTTTGTGGACAAATTGTGAGGGAGGCATGTAGCTTTTTTAATCTTTGTAGCCATCTTATTTAGGAATAGAATGGGAGGCAGGTTTGCCCTTCACAGTTCCCAGCCTGACTTTTCTCTTTGGTTTAGTGATTTTGGGGTCCTGAGATTTATTTATTTTTTCATACCTATAATCTCAGCCCTTTTGGAGTCTCAGGTGGGAGGATCACTTGAGGCCAGGAATTCAAAGCCAGCCTGGGCAACATAGCGAGGCCCAGTCTCTACAAAAAAAAAAAAAAAAATTAGTTGAACATGGTGGTGTGTTCCTGGTGTGTTCCTGTAGTCCCAGCTACTCCAGAGGCTGAAGTGAGAGAATTGCTTGAGCCTGAAAGTTCAAGGTTACAGTGAGCTATGATTGTGCCACTGTACTCTAGCCTGGGTAACAGAGTGAGACCCTGTTTCAAAAATAAATAAATAAATCAATATTCTGCATTTTCCAGTTTTCAAAATCTCTCTCCACTTTAGACTATCAATCTTATGATTGATTATTCCTTGCTCTAAACAATTGTTAGGTAGGTGGCCTTAAATTTGCATTTCCAAAGTCATGACATTTGTGTGAAACTAGGTGGAAAATTTATAGAACTTAGGTCTAAATGCCACTATTTGCTGAGATAAAGAAGGGCGTAGGTAAAAGACTCAGTTAAGACAAGAGGGCTGGGAAAATTACCTTAAACAAGAGTAAAATTTGTTACGTAAGCTTTAAGCCAATGTCTTTCCTATTGTGATTTAGGTACTGAGAGGAAGACACCCTTAGAAATGGAGATTTCATTTATAAATGTAAATTTATTTTTACAAGGAATTTCAAAATAGCTAGCTAAATACGGAAAGTTGTATTTTGGAGACCAAATTAGTTCAATGGGCAGTCTTTTCAATTGAGCTTGTTTCTTAATTAGATTACTGACTTTAGGATGGAGTTCTTCAATGAACAGGGCTAAACAAAAAGGTCAGTAGATTTAATTTTCTTATAAATCACTTAAACTTTTTATTAGGCATTTTGTGAAAAGCTGTTCAAAATATGCAATAAACATTTTTTGAAATACTTTTAGAAGCTGCACCGTTGAAGGCACTATTAGAAGCTTATACCTATTGAAGGCATCCCTGGGTAGACCTAATTTGAGAGCCCTGTAGATCAGCTCTTCCAGAGTCACTCCCAAAAAACAGCCAGAACCAACAACAACAACAACAAAAGCAACAACAACAAAAAAACCCCAGAGACTTAAATAATGCCTTGAGAGCTGCAATGATTGAAGTGGCATCATTGTCTGGGGTGACACCTGAGGTTCGTTGCCTCGTGACCATGGAGAGCAAGGATGCAGACACACAAAGAGTAAGGTTAAGAGTGGAGGATTAACAGGCAAAAGAAAGAGAATAGTTCTCTGCTACAGAGAGGTGTCCCAGAAAAATGTGTTGCCTATTTGTGGTGAAATGCAGTGGTTTTCATAGATGAGTTAAGATGAAGGCGATGTCTGATCTACGTAGGACACAAAAAATCAGTTAGGACCAGGTGTGCCATCTGCACAGGGTGTGAATCTCTGGCAGCCCCCACCCCAATCTTTTATTATGCAGGTGGGTTCTCTGCCTGAGCTTCTTCATGTTGCCCATTTCTTTCTTACTGTACATGTGCTAACAAAAAAGGGAAGATGGAGCTTCCATGGCGGACACGCCTGTCTCCCAGGTAGCCCTTTTTTGTTGGTGCGGTTGCTGGCATTCCCCTGTGCAAGCTTCCAGCTTCCTTTTTTATGTTTTGCACCCCTATTTCTCAGGTTGCTCTTTGTTAGAAAAGACATGATTTCTAGTTATGCTTTTTTGTTAGAAGGGAAGTTCTGCCAAGGACTCTTTGCCGTCACTATCTGCCTAAATAATTTCTTTCTCTCTCCTGTATCACAATCAGTCTAGCTGCAAATAAGTTCAACCCACATCTCTGTCTGGCCATATTTTGCTAGCTGCAAATGGGGTGCAGCTCCATTTCTGTCTAGCCATATTCTTGAGGCTCCTAGCCTTTTGATTGGCCACCTATATACACAGACCCAACAACCCATGTACCCCTGACAGATGGAAAGTCAAGCCAAGTTCTCAGGACAAGAAATGAGATGATCAGGAAAGCAATCACTGCCCATGAAAGGGAAAGGATCAATCTTAAAGTGTAATTGTTAGAGTAGGTAGTTAGGCAGATATGAGCAGGGCAGAAGAGGCCCCCTTCCACCAGGAATGTCAGGCGACTATCAAGTGATGGTCAGGCAGTTGTTAAACTGTCTAGCTAACGTTGTAATTGGTCACAGCTGGTGCCAGGGAACGGCCCGCTCCCAATAGACAGAAAACACCTGAAGCTGATGAGCAGCAGCTTCCCGGTAAGATCTCAGGACTTGGGCTAGTGGGCCCAGGCATGCACACTAAGAGGCAAGATGGCAGTTTAATTGGTATATGACCTTCTTCTGGGAATATGTGACGGGTAAGGGAAAAATGCCTCAAATGAGCATGTGCACAATTTCAGTAAACACACTATATGTGGCCCCTCCCAAGTCCTGGCAGACCACTGCGCACGTGGGCAGCCTACCCCAAGGGAAGAATCAGGGGAGAAGAAACACAAACCCTGGAATCATACCAACATATAAACCCCAAGTCAAGGGGAGGCACTTGAAACTCCCAAGTTCCTTGCTTGGCCCTTTTCCAAATATACTTTACTTCCTTTCATTTCTGCTCTAAAACTTTTAAAATATACTTTCACACTGTGTGTTATGCTCCTCAGATGAATTCTTTCTTTTAAGGAGGCAAGAACTGAGTTACTGCAGATAGTGAATCTGTACAAACAGCGTCACTGCTGCTAACACAATCTTGAGCCAGGTGCAGTGGTTCTTGTCTGTAGTCCCAGCTACTCGAGAGGCCAAGGTGGGAGGATGGCTTCAGCCCAGGAGTTTGAAATCAACCTGCGCAACATAGCAAGACTTTGTATCAAAAAAATAAAAGATAAAAATAAATAAGTAAATAAATAAATCATTAATTTTTTTAAAAGTGTGGTGTTATTCATCGGGAACATTCTATGCAATAGCCACTATAATTCTGAACTTTTTTTAGTGTTATTTTGCCACTGTTGTAAAATTTGCAGCTTCCAGAGCCATAATTTCCATACATAAAAAGGAAGGTATAGCTGGAAGGCAGAGTACTTGGAACTTTAGAAATTAGGATCTCATTTTTACACTGGATCTTGGGTCTCTTAAAGTTGAGATGGCTTTGACCCTGACATCTTGGCCTGCATGAAGAGAAGAAATAAAGAGGCCCTTCAGTAAAAACCACTTACTGCCACCAGTTACCTTAAAAACTGGCAATTTTTTGCCAATGACTTGTCAGTCACTGTAGACCAAAAGGCCATGTGTGTCCTGTAACTTGGCTATGAATGAAAGGAAAGAAATAAGAAAATGGTTAGAGGTAGTATGATTTATGAAAAGTTTGTTTGTTTTTTGGATTTTTTCCCCTTTAATATGGCAAAGGCTTAAGTATTTCATTAAATTACAGGGAAGAAGCCAGTTGAGATTTAAAAAAAAAATCTTGAAACACAGACTTGGACATTGGAGACTTAGCTTTTAGAATCCTCCCTCAAAGAAAGAAAAATACATGTTTTTCTCCCCCATTAGATTGTCACTTCCTCGAGGAAGGTCAAGGGCTCATGTATTCTGTTTATCTGTATACCTAGAGCCTGACCCAAATAAGTGCACCATGCACATATGTGTAGACAGATGGATGGATGGGTAAATGAATATGAATGATGGGTGGATGGATGGATGAAGGGATAATGAGTGGATGGGTGGATGAATGGATGGATAGATGGATGGGTGAATGAATGAACGATGGATGCAGGGGGTGAAGGATGAAAAGATGTAGGCTAAGAATTAGCATAATGTGTGCATCAGAGTGGCCACTAGGTGGCAGATGTGACAGTCAATGACTGCTCTTTCTGAGAAATTAGTTCAGATGGTTAGCTACAAGATAATGGACGACAGTTATAGTTTTTCTTTTTTGTTTTCTTTTTAATTTACTTTCTTTTTTTATATTGAGATAGGATCTCACTCTGTCAGTCAGGTGGGAATTCAGTGGCTCAATCATGGCTCACTGCAGCCTCGATCTCCCAGGCTCCTGAGTAGCTGGGACCACAGGTGTGCACTACCATGCTGGGCTAAAACTTCTCTCTTAAATGAACTTACGTAAGTGGAATATGCCCAATATTTGAAGTGGAAATTTGGATTTTCCTGTTATCTATTGATTACTCACTCAAATATCAGTAGGTCAACTTAGTCTTTCCTGGAAAAGGAGCTTTTGGTCCAAAATAATAATAATAATAATCATAAAATAATAAAATAAATAAGGCAGTTACATTGACTTGTAGTTTAAAAAGGGACTGAGCACATGTGCCCATCTTTTCTCTCACCTGAAATCCCACTGAAATGATGGCAAAAGTGTGATTCTACAAGGACAGAGAGAATGGAAAAGGAAACAAAAATGCTATTATAACCACTTTCTTAAATGAATTGTACTTGACAAATAACAGGCAGGAAACAACCTGGTCATCTTTAAATTTTCTCTGTCAGATTTTCTTTCTCCCACACCAGGATAATATCTTGTGCAAAGTCAAAGGCTTTTCCGGGCACTTTTGGAGATTAGAACTGTCTCATTTTGGGGTATTGAAAAGTACGCTCTAATCTAATCTTCCATCTTTTATCTAATCTATATCTTCTCCCACTTTCTAGCTTGGGTCTGATTCTGAATTCTGCCAGATGGAAGTGGGGGTTCATGGTCTATTCTTTTTGTCTCCATCAAAACCCTTCTTTCTCTCTTCACCAGCTGATGCTTCTCTGCCCCCCTTAGTATTATGCCCAAGGGGAGCAGGGGTTAGAAGAGGAAAAGACAGTCCTATATTATTGGGCGGTCGTACCTGACATTGGTACCTCTGTGTGGCAGGTGCCCCAATGCTGACCCTTTCTGCTGGTGGTGCTTTTGCACAGTTTTTTTTTTTTCTCACGCTCCTGTGGGACTTTTGACTTCACACTGTTCTCCCCACACTTTACTTGGTGAAACCCCATGCAGCTGACCTTTCATGATTTCCCCTAATTCTCTTCCCAAGTACTCTTGATGCAAGCTCATTCTGTTGAGCCAGAACTCTTGGGTGGAAACTCAAGCTCACTATTACTTTCCTGGTTTCTCATTTAGTTCTTGGAAAAACTCATGAATCTCTGTCTAATTCAATGACGAAAGTTTAGACCATTCCCACCGCAGTCCCTTCTTTTTTCCACACAAGCATCTCCAGGCAGCCTTAGGTGAGTGGAAGTCACTAATCCTTCTGCCCCACCACCCACCTAACCCCCTAAATCCAGAGGACATGGGTCTAGTTCTCCCAAGAATACTCTTTCCCCACTCTCCACTCAAGTAGAAGCACAGAACAAGTCTACACATTTCTGCAGCTCAGCAGCAGCTGACTGGGGACTGAGATGTTCGTCTCCACTCCTGGCAAGTAACTCAGTGTCTACAGTGTGCACATGAAGCCTCCCATTGCTTGACCCAAGAGGTGGAGAGAAACTTCTACTTTAAATGTTCATGTGCCCATATATGACGCTCTTCAAAAAAAAAAAAATTCTAACTCACTCTAAAGAGTCTCTAGCTTTTTTATGGAGTTTTCTTTCTTCACACAGGGACTAAAGTTGAGAGGTGGGCTATGGGCACAAGACTCATGTTACTGTAAATGCATGGTATGTTAGTCCTTCATGAATGTCTAACATCTTCTTTTGGAATACGGGCATAGATGGCATTCTAGGCTTTCAGCCTCAGACACAACTCCAAATTTATTAAAAACCTCACTTAAAAGCTTGTTATACTACAATTAAAGATAATTATTAATTATAGTTAGTAGCTGTATTAGTTCATTCTCATGCTGCTATGAATAAATACCCAAGACTGGGTAATTCATAAAGGAAAGAAGTTTAATTGACTCACAGTTCCACAGGGCTGGGAAGGCCTCAGGAATCTTACAATCATGGCAGAAGGGAAAGCAAACACATTCTTCTTCATATGGCAGCAGCAAGGAGAATTGCAGAGTGAAGTGGGGGAAAAGCCCCTTATAAAACCATCTTGCAAGAACTCACTCACTATCATGAGAACAGCGCGGAGGTAACCACTCACATAATTCAACTACCTCCCACAGGGTCCCTCTCACAACATATGGGGATTATAGGAACTACAATTCAAGATGAGATTTGGGTGGGGACACAGCCAAACCACATCAGTAATAATTAGAGAAAAAAGAAGGGGCTCTTGAAATTAAAAAACGATAGCTGAAATTTAAAAATTCAATAGAAGAGTTGGAAATAGAATGAAGAAAATGTCCAGGAGGTCAGATATCCTAGTATAAAACAGTAGGGGAGAGGATTTTCACAGAAACAATAAAGCAGTGTCATGATTGAAAAGATCTTCCCAATGCCATGTGTAAGACATGGAAAATGATCTACACAAAGGCACATTATTATGACATTTCAGAACATTAGAGATAAAGAGAGGAAACTAAGATTTTACAGAGAGAATGATCACATCACATAACAAAGAAATGAGAATCAGAGTGGCATGATTTCTCAAGAGTAACACTGGAAGTTGGAACAAAATGGAGCAATGCTTCAAAATTCTAGAAAAATTACTTTTAAACTAGAACTTATGCTCTAGGAAGCCTTTAATCAATGAGAACGATACAGTAAAAATGTATTTATTTATTTTTATTTATTTTTGAGACAGGTTCTCACTCTTGTTGCCCAGGCTGAAGTGCAGTGGTGCAATCACAGGTCACTGTAACCTCGAACTTCTAGGTTCAAGTGATCCTCCTGCCTCTGCCTCCTGAATATCTAGGACTACAGGTGTGCACAACCATGATTGTCAAATTTTTATTTTATTTTTCGTACAGCCAGGGTCTCACTATGTTTCCTGGGCCAGTCTTGAACCCCTGGTCTGAAGTGATCCTCCTGTTTTGGCCTCCCAGGATGCTGGGATTATAGGCATAAGCCACCATGCCTGGCCAAAAATATATTTAAATATGCATTTCTGTGGGGTCACTGGTGATATTCCCCTTATCATTTCTGATTGCATCTGTTTGATTCTTCTCTCTTTTCTTCTTTGTTAGTCTAGCTAGCAGTCTAGCTCTTTTATTAATTTTTGCCAAAAAAACAAGCTCCTGGATTTGTTGATTTTCTGAAGGGTTTTTTCACATCTCTATTTCCTTTGGTTCCTGTCTGATCTTGGTTATTTCTTGTCTTCTGCTAGCTTTGAGATTTGTTTGCTCTTGGTTCTCTAGTTCTTGTGATGTTAGGTTGTTGACTTGAGATCTTTCTAGCTTTTTGATGTAGACATTTTAGTGCTATAAATTTTCCTCTTAACACTGCTTTAGCTGCATCCCAGAGATCCTGGTGTGTTGTCTCTTCATTCTTATTAGTTTCAAATATCTTCTTGATTTCTTAATTTAATTTAATCTAATTTAAAGTTCTAGGATACATGTGTAGGATGTGCACGTTTGTTCCATAGGTAAATGTGTGCCATGGTGGTTTGCTACACTTATTAACCCTTCACCTAGGTATTAAGCCCATCATGCATTAGCTGTTTATCCTGATATTCTCCCTTCCTGCACCCCTCCAACAGGCCCCAGTGTGTGTTGTTCCCCTCCTGTCTCCATGTATTCTCATTAGAACTTCTTGATTTCTGTCTTAATTTTATTATTTGCCAGGAGTCGTTCAGGAACAGGTTGTTCGATTTCCACGTAGTTGTGTGGTTTTGAATAAGTTTCTTTATTTTGAGTTCTAATTTGATTGCTCTGTGATCTGGGAGACTGTTATGATTTCCTTTCTTTTGAATTTGCTTTTGAATTTGCTGAGGAGCTTTTTACATAATTACATGATCAATT